ACTGTCATATGCTAATTTTATATTTTTTAAAGTTCAAAATTTTATATTTTATAATGGAAATCCAAACTAAGTCCTGATTGACAGTATTGATGAGCTCATTTGTGCCACATCCTTATTTAATTTCAGTAATAACTATTTCATACTGGCCCAATTTTTTTACCATATACAAGTTTTTTTAGTCATACAGTCTTGGAAATCCAACCTCATCAACCGGTATGTGGCGAGATAAACTAGACCATATTTTATTTAGAAGCCATAACTGCCTGGATTTCCAGGATTTTTTTTTTTTACATACTTGTCTGGATTTCCAGATTCTGTTTCTCCATATGCAGTTGGAATTCCGGGGTATTTTCCCCATCATACAGTGCTGGAAATCCGATCTCATCAACAGGGGGGTGCAGATATAAACTGGAATGGCCCATTAACAGTTTATGCTCTGAATTGTTGCTACAATTATTTTGGAATATCATTCAATATGAAGGATTTTTTTGGTCCAAATTTATTTTCTTCACAAAAAAAAAAATCACTGATTGGATTTTATGGGTTGGTGAATGTTTGTAAAGCATATATTTTATAATCCTTAATTGAATAGGTTTGTAAGTTGTATCTTTGGAAACAACAATCAAGCTTGAAACTGTTGGCATGGAAACACAAATAATTTACTTTGTCTTTACTTTGATTAGCTACCCCTTCCCCCCCCAAAAAAAAACTTTCTCTTTCTGAAGAAACTATTCAAAATGTATTTAAAAACCATTCAAGCCAAGTTGGCAATCATAATTTTATGATTGTTTTCTGTTTTGCTTATTTCTCCAGGTGTTGCCGCTGTCTGCAGTGTTTGTTGGTATGATCACTTTTAACAATCTCTGCTTGAAAAATGTTGGTGTGTCATTTTACAACGTTGGTAGATCTCTCTCCACTGTCTTCAATGTGGTAAGTATACCAACTTATTTTACTTGTTGATTAAATATAGTGATAGATTTATTTAAATAAAATACCACAAAGCCCTAATAAATAATATGTATTTCAGAAAAATTGCATAATTATACTCTCAGTGTTATATTTAGGATGACATCAGATATGATCATAGCACGTCATTCAGTGTGTAAAAGGATCAAATGAAACAAACATGCACAGACAAACCGATAATTTCAATCTCAACTGCATTACTGCACCATGATTTATTGGCAGGTTTGTTGCCTGCACTAAGACCTGGCAAACTATTTCAATGCCACAGCAGTCATAAATATGTCTGTCGCTATTCTAGTTTTTGTGTGTTTATTTGTTTGTTGGAATCAATCATTTTTATGAATGATTAATTACATTTTATTGTGCTTTATTGTGAAGTCATTTAAAACAAGTGACATTGTTGAGACTTCCTCTATAGAACATATTTGTTAATATCTCATCTTCTTTATCTAAGATAATGGAGCTAGATTCAGAATAAGCGAGTGAGATGGGTAATTTATGCACAAGATATTTGTTCTGATTGCTATTCAGTCCAACTCCAAGCATTGAAAAAATATTTTTATAATAATGTCCTGTGAGTTCTATAATTTATTTCGTTCGTTTGTCACTCGTGTGTTGCGAAGATAAATTAATCCATGTGTGTTACGAGCTGTCACAGAGTAATTACCTGTATCCTGTTGTTATCTTGTCTACTGCAGTTTCGTCATGGCGATGTTTTATAGGCCTTTTCATACTATATGATATACATGTATTACCTTTTAACGCTTTCCTGAGTCATGTAGCTGCTAATGACTCATCCCTACTTTAATATGTAAAGAAAGACATATTGTGGTTTTCTTCTGCTGCTTTTTCGGTCCATGTGTCCACCCTGTGATGATTTTAGAATTAGGAAATGCATATTCTGCATACACCATATTAAATCGCTTTATTTTCGCTGCTAGAAATTTCAGAATTTTATGGCATTTGTGAAGAAAAAATTTCCCAAAATTCACTGACACTGAAAGATTGCTACGAAATTTTACAATTTTACTTGTCAAAATTGGTCTGTCGCAAAATTAATATGAATACCGAGCCGATGACAATTTAAGTATTTTTACCTTTATTGGTGTATTTAGATTTTTCTCAGGAGCAAACATCCAGGCATTTGTCACTGCCTGGCAACTATCTCCGGTGAAAACAAAGATCGAAACGATACATTGGGCTAGTTGTTGAGACTCCCATAAACTGTACAACTAGACAACACTACCCCAACATGTGAGACGTATTATATAAATTTGTTGTTCAAGATCAACTAAGCGTTGAGTTTGTGCTGCTTTTTCAACTTTAGCTGATTTCACAGCAGCTTGAATAGAGCCCATAGAAATACATAGAACATTCTGTGACATAGCCCTGCCCCCAAGAATTGACATACTTGATACTTTAAATATACCGTATGTATGAATTCTAAGCAATTCCACTGGCTTCATTTTTGATTGATTCTTTGTTTATTCATTTCTGCTATGAACAATTAAATTACACATAATACTAGTGTGAAATTCAGAAAAATCATGGCGAGGAACATGATATTTAGCTTTACTTGAACTACTTAAATATTATGTCCAACCCTTATAATAATATGAAATTTTTCTCAAAGTATTACATATCAATTTTGTAGACAATTATTGGTATTACTGTTTTACATGCCACCTCTTAAACTAGCAAATTAGTATGTTCAATTTTAGAGCTCTTTTAAAGTTGTTTCGAAAACATTTCCAAAGACATGTAATACTGCATAATATCCTCTGATCATACATTAATGTACCTCCAATATTCTACTATGTTTACAGTGAGAAGAATCAGGCATTGGAACGAATAAATTTGATTTAAGAACTGATCTTGTGTTATATAAATTCAAAAACATTAGCGAATGAAATTCAAACAAAAAATCTAGTGGGACAAAGTTCATGCATGTATCCATCAATTATCACATAGCGTACATTTCTCCTCGTAGTACATGACGTAATACAGTACTGATTGAAAATGCGTATCACGTTGTTTGACATTGAATATATGTCTATTTATTTTCATTCAGCTGCTTCATAAAGTCCGCCAAACTTTTAAAAAAATTCCATATTATATTAAAATTCCATACAGTATTATTGTAACCTTCTTCATTTTCTGCTCCATTAACACATTCTATGTGAGTTTCAATGTACAGGACACACTAGGGGGATCTCAATACTCCTAGAATCTTCCCTCAGCCTACTACATGTAGCTTTACTCGCAAAACAGACTGCTTGGTTCTCTATCTGCCTCATCACTATCACATTAATTGTTTTTCAGAAAACTCTCATCTTCATACAGTGATCTTCACAAGATCGTTTTTTTATTCAAGTTCATTTTCAACATCGCTACTTTACCTCCTATCTATCTCCATATTTCAACAGTACTGTTACTATACTCTGCCTCCAACCCACCTCATGATTCATTTTTGAATCTCTTCTTTGCCCATCCTATATTATGATTGATCCTTTCTTGTTTTGACTTCCAATAATATTCATCTTCTTATTTCCTTGACAGGCTGCAATGTGTGGATACATGTAGCCCTGTTGTTGCATGTTAATTTTATTGCTAATAAAATTGCTTGAGGTCATGTGTGTAAAATTTAATATATCCAGAACACCTTGTAATTATTGCATTGAAAATTAAACCGTAGCATACAGCTGTTTTCTATAATAACTGCCAAATATGAGTATAAAAAAACAAATAATGGAGACGATAAAATATTAATGGCTGACGATTAAAAATGAAATATACATGTACATGGGTACATGTGCAGTAGATTAAAGATAAAATAAATCCATCAAACCATTTCAACATAACACGTCAGGTGCTTATCACGCATTCAACTTCGGTAATGTAGACAGGATATTGCGCCCATTAACCTCTGTGACCTTCTTCAAGTTTTATTTGTCTTATTAATAACAGAAAAATCATATTTATGTTCCACATGACCTCCATTGAATCAATTTTATGCATTCTTTGTATTTGTGAGCAAATGAGGAAGTCAACTTCCTGGAAAATTTGGCAGAGTATCAAATATTTTTTTGTTATTACCCCCGGTAGTATTGAATTTTGTCTCAATCAGGCTGGTTGGGAGAACTGTTTTGGCTGCTACTACAGCAGCTGTGATCTGATCAGCTTATTTAATGTGTGTACAAGTGATAAATTTACTGAGAAGGAGACACTAAATTATGTTGGCACTCAATATTTAACATGTTTGTTGAAAAACTGTTTTCTGCCTTTTAAATTATGCAGCGATCCCAATCAGCATAGTCGAAACTAGAGGCTAGTCACGAAGCAGTATTTTGGTATATCTATTTAAGCTTTGTAAATCCTTCAAGTATCTACCATGCCTGGGATGACAATGAAACCATTTCGTGCAACGAAGGTGAACAGTATACTACCATCGCCGTGATTTTCCAGGCTCTGTTTCTCGGTGTGTGTTCAACTATCGGGATCGTTGGGAATTTTCTCACCCTGTACGCGATTGCCTCCAAGTCAAATCTGCAGCACACGGCTAACATATTTGTGGCCAATCTTGCTATCGCCGACTTCACCGTGTGCCTGGTACTGGAGCCCTTCTATATGATCGGTGTGATTAAACAGGATTGGCCGCTCAGTGATGAACTTTGTTCAATGTTGGGTCTTCTGAATGTTTTACTTAAAGGCGCTTCTTTATTTAGTCTGGCTTTTGTAGCCTTTAACCGATACATCTGCATTACCCAACCAGCCGCGATGAAGTTAAACTTGTACTCTTCGGCAAGAACAGTTGCTCTGTGTGCCGTTATTTGGATCTTCCCTCTGGCAGTCTCCCTTCCGCCTATATTTGGCTTTGGGTCCTACGGATTTGACAGCATGGCTCACAACTGTAAAGTTATTTGCGATTCATTTCACTATCTTATTGTGCTCAGTGTCATCTTGTTCACCGTTGGCTGCATTATATTATTTTGCTATGCTGGAATCTTCTCCCACGTGTGGAAAAGCAAAAGGCGAGTGGAACAGTCAGCTGAAGGTAACATCTCAGATGAGACTTCAAGTAACCCTCAAGGTGTTTGTAGCTCCCCGGAAAGAAAATTGGCTCGACAGAATCGAAAAAAGGAGATTGAGATAGCGTTGAACCTATTCACTATATTTATCGTGTTTTGTATTTGCTGGATACCTTACGCTTTGCTCATTTTGATTGACTCCGATAGACAGGCAAATCAAGGAGTGTGGATGGCCTTTACGTTGTTCGCGTACTCCAACTCGTCAATGAACTTTATACTTTATTCATGGCGAAATAAACATTTCAAGTCTGCGTACAAGAAAATCTTGACTTGTTGTTGCAGCAATTAAACCATTCAAAGGACGCAAAAATTCATTTTTTGCCGAAGATATGTTTTTTGCCAAATTATTTTTTTCTTATTTATATTTCAAACTGTACTTGGAGATGATGGACAGGGAATTGTGTCACTCCTGTGATGTTTACAGAATTTTTAATCAGAATATGGTAATATACCTGTATACTGGGTAGTACTGTAGAATACTTTATTTTCGCTTGGAATTTATTTTCCCTATTTTTGCTGAAGGGATGATTCCGTGAAAATAAAATCCAGCGAATATACTTTTTTTCCTATATTTCACATTAAACTCATCAAAAATCAGTGAAAATAAATTCCAAACAACAGGCCCAAAAAGCCTTTTCAGCGAAAATTAATTCCAGCTAAAATAAAGTATTCCACAGTATCATAAATTTTCTAAATAGACTCCTCTATTACCATATTTTTGCATATTCAGATGCTATCAATCCATTCACCTTTATGTTTTTTTTAATTGACAAGAAACACTTTTTAATACATGTACATTTGATTCTACTATCAGCTATGTCCAAAAATAATTAATTAATTAAAAATAATTATTTTTGTTAATACTTTTAACATGTTTGGTCATATTTAATAACTAAATTGTAAGTTTCTCACAAATGTATCGCTTCCTGCGAAAACAGTTCAACTTTTCATATTTATACAGTACCGGTCACTGGTAGCATAGTGGTTGTCGCATCAGACTCGTGATCGGTAGACCCAAGTTCAAATTCTACCTTAGGCTGAACATCAAAAGGGTAGACCCCTCCCCTGGGTGAGTGAGCCACAGATTCGATGGGAAGGCCAATTCCACTGGCCAAGATTCATTCACTAACGAATGCGATTTTGGGGGAACCTTGGTTAAGGTCCACAGGTGCTTGTGTTCGACCGAGCCTGGTTGACGCCAGGATAGCGCATTAAAATTGCTGTTTGATAGGGAGATGGCCGCAGGGCCCTATCATGTAGTCTCAAACTGGAAATGACTTCTGTGTCAGCACTAGTACTTGCAATTTGCACTCAAAAAAAAAAAAACTTTTCATATTTTTAAAATGCTTCTCTCTCAGGATCAAGTTTTCAGTTGTTTTTAATGTATTTCTGCTGTGGCTTATTTCTTTATATATACCAATATGGTAATTTGAGTCAGTTCATGTACAAGCATCTCAGCATGTGATAGTGTGACTAGGGTGGAATCGTATGGTGCCTAGTAACGGTGATTGTCAGGAGTGGAATGTTGTGTTCTTTAGATACATATTTTATGATCATCAGTAAAAAACAAATCATTGTTGAAAAAAAACATCAATGATTCTTGTGAACTTGTTCTATCACAATCACTTGAGCATCTTAAAAAAATGATATCGAAAATACATTAAAGGTTTCAATAATTTTTTTTTTAATCAGCTTATGAATACCTGTACTTTTGAATGATATATATAAAGCACTGAGAACAATTGTTTTATTTAAAATGTTGTAAATTACTTTTTACCTTGCTATTAAATCTTGTTGTGTATATCTTGAAAAAAATTATAATAAATCTTATTGTGTTATGTACGTCATATGACGTTATGTTTGCTCAGTTCTGCGTGTACCACCTCCATCCATTTTGTGTTTCCCACTTGTATCAAGACGCAAAATAAATATTCATATGCTGCCATCAGTGTTTTCTGATATTTGCCATCATCTTTACTGTACCACTCAGACTGGACTTATACACTAATGCTTGAGTGCGATAACGCAGCAGTTGTCGACAGCTTTCGGTCATGTACTTACGAGACTTTTTTACATTTGACAGTAATGGACACATAAGTGTTTATCCTGAATGATATCTCACGTTATTTTGACATCTACATACATTGAGCGATTACAAACAAGACAGGAATATGTATACAACATACTCTGGTGGTTATCACAAGTGGCTGCGGATGTCATTTGTCACATTTCTAGTGTCTGCAAAAAATTAAACAGATATTTTGACTGTGAATCTGGCGCTGAAGGATTCATTCAATGTCTTCCTAACTGTGTGCCTTTGATGTGGGTCCCATGCTGCACATGCTGCACATTTGAGTCTTGTACGTAGTTTTTCATACAATATGTGAATTCACATGGCATTGATCACCAACCCGCATATAATAGTCCTAGCAGCAAATGATCATGTGTACATTTTACTGTTCCCGTGTGTATTTTAGAAATAGAGAAACTAGAAAATGACGAATCATATTTTCACTGGGTACTCATTTTTAAGACCAAAACTGTGAGAATTTGTGATATCAATGTCATCGTGATGTCATGTACATTCTGAAATATACCTACGCAGCTTAAATAAAACTATTCAGATAAACGAATATATTCAATTCCAGACAACTGGCAATAACAATTCTCAGAACAACTTTCTCTTAATCTCTGACATTATGCAACTGATAATTGATTTAAGGCATCTAAGGACGCATGAAATTCCAACCAATCAAACATCTTGTTTCATTAATGTGAAATGAAGGGGTGAAAAAAAAAATAACTGATTGATACATGTACATGTAAATTAAAAATTAAATATAACCTGGCCTATTGCACTATATTGTATTTTTATTTTCATTCATCCCTGCATTTCTAACTTTGACTTTGAAGTTCAAACAATGACTTTGACACATGTTTTTTATATGTCACATAAAACCCACAACATGTTATTGACAACAATATCCCAATAGTCAAGTCCTTTGCAGAGCTTGCATTAAAAGTTTCTCCGTTTGGTAACTTTTTAATAATGATCAATAAAGCATTGCATACTCACTCGCTTCTTCTTCTCTATCGACAGATACTCTCATACTTGATTCTCAAACAAACCACCTCAGTGAAGGCTATTGTTTGCTGCTGCATTATCATATTTGGTTTTATTTTGGGCGTCGACCAGGAAGGAAACACAGGTAAACCTACCCTAATCCTCTTACATTCATAGATGGAAGAAAAGATGGCATCTAGCCTTTCTTATGGCCTAACCTGTATTTTGTTTCTCTTGCCAGGTGATCTGAACTACATGGGTGTTGTGTATGGCGTCCTGGCAAGCATGTGCGTCTCCCTCAATGCTATCTATACCAAGAAAGTATTGCCTGCTGTGGAGGAGTATAGGAAAGCTGCAGTACTACAACAACATAAACGCCTGTATATTATTTATACCATTAATCTTACTGACTGGGGAATTTCAAGTGTTATTTCATTTCCAGAAAATCAGCGATGTGGTCTTCTGGGCGGTGATGACCATGGTGGATTGATGGGTTTCTTTATCGGGTTCGTCACTGGACTTCAAATTCAGTACACAAGTCCGTTGACGCATAATATCAGCGGCACTGCCAAGGCTTGTGCACAGACCATTATTGCCGTTGTCCACTACCAAGAGATCAAAACGATGCTGTGGTGGTTTAGTAATGCTCTTGTGCTCATCGGATCTGGCGCGTACACACACGTAAAAAGCATGGAAATGAAACAGGCGCATGAAGCGAACATTAAAGCTCTGAAAGCAGAAGATGTAGAGCTCATAAACCAAGACGAAGAGGAAAGAAAAGAGAACAGTGTTTAAACAGTGGTGACTTGACCCGGCTGCTTTTTTTTCTCAGTTTCTACAAATCTACTAGAGTACTAGAGTGTATTTTTTTGTTGGGATCAGCATTTACGAAACAATGGTCAGAGTGTATCATCACTACCAAAAGGGTTTGAGAAAATGGTTATTTTTACATAATTTTATTGCCAGTCAACAGTTTACATTGTTCCAATAATGTGAAGACAGTAGAAGTTGGGTGGAGGCTACTTTGATGTGTTTTTTTTTTTGTGTTTTTTTTGGTGCAACAAATTAATCAACATTAATTCTTGTATATGTATGCAAGTACGATTAGTTCATGTTGAGTGGCTTAAGAGCCAGATAACCTCTGTACACAAAACGGTATGATTAAAAAAAAAATCGAAATTTGTACCTAATAAAAATATTAAAACGTGTTGAGCAGTGCAGATACTAGTGTATGAATTTTAATGTTCCCTGGGGGAACTTGAGTTACATACTTCACATGTGAGTTCAGTTTGTTTTTGTTTTTTTTAATATCCCCTTCTATAGTTAGACATGAACATTCTCTGTATTTGTTTTTTTCTGGGGGGGATGTCATAGGGTTATTAAAGTATTTTATATTTATGTATATACATTGGTATTTTAATAGTGTTTTAACAAAATGCATTAATTGATGGGGAGGAGGGGTTAATGAATAGAAAAAAAGTCAGTTGATGAAACTTGCATGAAGACGTGCATGATTCGCTCAGAATAAAAAAAAATGTTATTTCGCTAACTCACAGCCCTGATATTGAGGTACAATGTTATCATTTATTGCTGTCAGTTATTTGCTTGTTAAATTGCTGATCACCTTTAGTTTGCCGTGATCATGGGGGAAGCTTACTTAGTATTTATACTGATACCACAGTATTTTATCCCCCCCCCCCAAGAACACTTATCACATCCTATAATTTGCATGAATCTGAATTGGTAATGGGATATTACTAGCATCGTACCGAGGCATATAGTGAGTCACATAGATATTTATGACATCCCATACTGTATGGTGTTAGCATAAATCCTAATGAATGGATGATAAAATGAGATATTACGAGCATTGTATTTAGG